GTTTTCAAATTCTCCTCCATGTCACTTCTAACTTTTATGATTCTAAACTCTTTTTCATTTTGCACTTGGTTGCAGAAGTCGAAGAACACAAAATGTGACTCATCCTTGTGTTTTAAAAACTTAACCCATGTCCATCTGCTGTAGTCATCAATAATGACCAATCCATACTTCTTGCCTCTGATGGATGTAGTTTTAACTGGTCCAAACAGATCAATGTGAAGAAGTTCCAACGGCCTAGAGGAAGAAACAACATTTTTTGACTTAAAAGAAGGTTTTGAAAATTTTCCTTTCTGACATGCTTCACACAGAGCTTCTGAGTTGAACTTCAGATTGGGAAGTCCCCTGACCAGATTGAGTTTGTTAATTTGAGATATTCTTCTCATGCTAACATGTTCCAATCTTCTGTGCCAGACCCATTTCTCATTGCTAACAGGCATAAGGCTTTTTACATTCTGAGTTGTAAGGTCAAAAAGATCAATTTTATAGATGTTGTTCTTTCTCTTGCCAGTAAAAAGGATTGTTCCATCTTTTTGACTAACAACTCTACAAGATTTTTAATTAAAGATTATGTCATAATCATTGTCACTTAATTGACTTATGGATAACAAGTTATGCGCTAATCCTTCTACCAACAGAACATTAGTTATAGAAGGAAGGTTACCATTTCTAATGGTTCCAGAATCAATAATCTTTCCTTTCTGATTTCCTCCAAATTTGACATCTCCTCCAGATTTAAGTTCCAGACTTTGGAACATAGACTTTCTTCCCGTCATATGTCGTGAGCATCCAGAGTTCAGGTATCATGACTGGTGTTTCAACTGTGCTGTTAAGGACATCTGCAACATATATTATTTTCTCCTTAGGTACCCATATCCTTTTGGGTCCTTTTTGGTTAGAGTTTCTAAAGTTTTGTTTGAACTTTGATTTAGCATAAAAAATTTCAGAGTGAGATGTGTATTTGATATCATGTGTGTGCCCAAAACTAAATTGTTTGTGCAGTGGTTTATATGTGATAACCATTTCCTCAACAGGTTTAGGCTTATATGTTTCTTTCCCTTTGGGAGTTTCATATCCAATTCCTCTTCTGTTATTTCCACTAACACCATAGATCATTAAAGCCATTTTGCTCCTATCTATGATTTTAGCAAGAAATGTTTGAAAACTAGAGTCATATTCTTTAAGAATATCTCTTGAACTTGAAGCAGAATCTGAAATAGAATTTTTTTGAACTTTTTGAACTTCCTCTTTGAGTTTAAAATTGTTTTCTTTAAGTTTAGAGTTTTCTGTTTCAAGTTTCTCAAAATCAGATGCAAGATTCTTTTTGAGTTTCTTGTATTTAATTTTGAGTTGACTGTAGTTTTTAAGAAGTTCTGATAAGCTTTCTACAAGTTCGGCTCTAGAGAATTCAGAGAATACCTCTTTCAATTTTGAATCAGAGTTTGAGTCATCGTCATCTGCTGTGGTAGCCATAAACGCTAGGTTAGCGTGCTCATCTTCTGAGTCAGATTCAGCTTCAGAAGATTATGAATCATCCCAGGTGGCCATCATGCCTTTCTTTCTTCCAAACCTTTTCTCTGGTCTTTCTCTTTGTAGCTTAGGACAATCGCTTATGTAGTGTCCTGGTTCTTTACATTCATAGCAGACTATGTCTCTTCTGATGGACTTCTTATGTCCAGAAGATTCTGGTTTATCTTCTGACCTCTTGTAATTTCTGAACTTCTTTTGTCTGTGCTTCCACATCTGGTTGATCCTTTTGGAGAGCAGAGATAACTCTTCTTCTTCTGATGCAGAGTCTTCAGAGTTTCCTTCTTCTGCCTGAAAAGCGTTAGTTTCATATTTTTTTAATATATTTAAGGGCGACAGTCTTACCTTTCTTCTGAGGCTCATGTTCATCAAGTTCTATCTCGTGACTTCTTAATGCACTGATAATTTCTTCAAGAGATACATCATTCAAATCTTTTGACACTTTGAATGTAGTAACCATAGGTGCCCATCTTTTGGGTAAACTTCTGATAATTTTCTTAACACGGTCTGCCTTGGTGTATCCTTTGTTCAGAACTCTCAAGTCAGCGGTCAGAGTTTGGAATCTCGAGAACATAACTTCAATAAACTCATTTTCTTCCATTTTGAAGGCTTCATACTTCTGGATGAAAGCCAAAGCTTTTATCTCTTTTACTTGAGCATTGCCTTCATGAGTCATTTTGAGAGACTCAAACAAGTCATGTGTTGTATCTCTGTTGGTGATTTTCTCATATTCCATTTTAGAGATGGCGTTCAGAAAGATATTTTTGGCTCTGTGGTGATTTTTGAAATCTAATTTCTGTTGTTTATCCATGTTCTTTCTGTCAATCTTGTTTCCATCTTTATCTCCTGGATGTGTGTAACCATCTAGGACCATATCCCATAAATCAACATCATGACCTAGAAAGAAACTTTCTAGTCTATCCTTCTAGTATTCAAAGTCTTCTCCATCAAACAGAAGGTTTGGTGCAGTTGTTGTTGTTTTGTTCAGTTGCCATAGTGTTTTCCTTCTGGATCTTTTTCTAACACTGTTAGGTGTTTGCACCCAGAACTAGAGCTCTGATGCCAATTGAAGGGTGAGAAAACACTTAGAAGGGGGGGGGGGGGGGGTTGAATAAGTTTTTCCTTTTTCTTGTGCAATAATAATGGAAGGACACAAGTAATTTTATCCTGGTTCGTTTGAAACTCAAACAACTCCAGTCCACCCGCCAAGGTGATTTCGCCTCTCTCAACGAGGACTTAATCCACTATAATCAAAACTGTTTACAAATGTACAACCAAACTGTTGTGACTAACAATACAATGCACAAGCCAACTGCAAGTGACTAACACCTCTAAGACTAAACTAGTCCTAGCCCTCTTGAGAAATATGACCCAACTGGTCTCTCAAGGAACAATTACAAAGATTATCTCTTAACAGTAGTGAATCAGAATGCTTCTAATAAGTTATATCACAAACTGTGATTTATCACTAAGATTTTAGCCCAGCATTTAAGAATTACCCACTATATATAAAGAGTTTACAAGAATGAAAATAATGAGCTTCAGTATATTTTGCGTGGATCAGTAACATTGCTTTGAAACAAATGGTCTTCTATATATATAGCTTCAAATTTTGACCGTTAATGCCTTGAAGAGAGAGTATGCATTAATGATGCGTGCTAGCTTGACCTTTATGTTTCCAATGCTCTCGTGCGTAGTACCACTTGAGTGCGTTAGTCGTCTTAGCATTAGATGATCAACGATACTGTCAGAGCTGGAAGTTTAAGAGTTTGCTTGCAGCGTTGTAACATCAGAGTTTACTTTAACTTTTCTTCTATCAGAGTTTTCTATATCACTTCTTCTGTCAGAGTTTTCTTCATTTTATGTTCATCAGAGTTTGCTTCAGCTTGTATTATCTGATATTGCTTTCGGCGTGCTTCTTTAAAATCTTTGCTTCAGCTAGCTTTATCAGAGGTTGCTTAAGATTACTTTTTATTAGAGTTTGCCTTGGAGTACTTCCTTCAGAGTTTGCTTCAGACTTGTGTTTACATAAAATTTCTTAGGAACTTCTATATCCTTTTTCTGCTCAGCGTAGAATGACGTTTCACTTTTGAGAATGTTTGAGTCAGAATATCATCTGAATTAGAAAACATGCACATCAGAGTATAAAATAATATAAAATTTATTTCATTGTTATCATCAAAACTCTAAGATATGATTAGAACCAAACTTTGTTCTAACAGCTTCAAACTCGTGCACATTATTCTTTGGGATGGATAAAAGCACTCGTAAATTAAGTTTTACCCTTTAAACACCTTTGGTGTTAGCGTCAGGATTATCTTTTGTATAATAAAATTTAGTATTTTCTCTATCTAGTAGAGTCCATCTTTTATGTTTTGTGCTTGCAATTATGTGTTCTCATTCTAGGTTTAGTTTTCGACTGCGTCGCTTTTAGTGTCATAAAACACAAAAATCCTATTTTAAAGTGTAAAAGTGGATTAAAAATGGATGGAGGTTAATGATTTTGATATAATATTATATTTGATCATGAAGAAGAATACGGAAATTGTTTTATTTATTTTTTCTGCTTGAGATTTTCGGATATACATCTTTAAAATTATTACTGATTTAATTAATTGTGGCTCTCTTTATGTGTGTATTAGAAACACCATTCAATAAAAATTATGAAGATGCATTTTCAATATATATATTTTAGCATAAACGGGTGTGACTCTTAAATGAATCGTGTGCTGCATTTTGTCTTTAGCTCAATATTCTACCTCATATCCAGTGATTGATAAGCAATACATAATAATATTTTAGATGACTAGTATGCATAAAGTTTAATCCAATGGTTAATATTAAAGTTGGACAGAGTATCACAAAAAAAATGCTGCAAAGAATCTAATAAATGTGTGTATTAAATGTGTCTGAAAATACATTTAATAAGCAAATTCAGATTTCTAATTTATTCACTATCACCCATTGGAGTGGGTAAAGTAATACCCAAAAATATTAACCCATGTCTATTTTTCCTTTAACAAAACATAGATACAAAATTGTTCATGAATCTCTCCTCCCAATCAATTTTCTTTATATGCAAGAGTTCCATATCAAACTTCTTTAACAGTGGTTTCAATGTAACATTCCTTTATCTTGTTTTCTCTTCAAGTATTTTCCTCAACATTATCACCAATCTTAAGCAACAAGTTACAACTCATATGATTTGAAATTCGTTTCTAGGGGCACAATCGACATTTCAACAAAAGCATGCACCAAAATCCACCGTACACTTCATCCCACAACCACAACCAGTACAACTCCGCAGCACAACAACCCACATTCTCAGCGTCGTGCATGTACCTGCCTGCCCACCAACAGAAAAACAGAACACGCCATTTCTCTCTCTCTCTCTCTCTCTCTTCTCTTCATTTTGTATTATATCAATTGCTTCATAGTTTAAAATCTCTGTCTTTCTTAGTTTGGTGTTGGAAAAAATGGAAGGAGAAAGTAACAACAACAAAGACAACAGTTCAGAGCCAGTCTCGTATGAAAATGAAGAACAAACAAGCAACCATCAAGTCTCTGAGGATCATCAAATTCAAAATCAACAATCTGAAACAAGTGTGGCCCATTGGAATTCTATACCAAAACTACCTTATAGTAACTATGTTGAGTATCTCTCTGAATCTTCAACTTATCTTCCAACAACCGAGTATAATTTGGTTGGGAACAATTATCAAACACTTGGTGGCACAACCAGCTTCAATGATCAAGGAAAAGCTTTTGGTTTTAAACCGACTGGTTCTTCAAGTACTGACCATGGTATCATGAAGGTAAGGTTAATTATCAGAAAAACTAGAACTTTTATTTAACAAGTAGTTGTGAGATTTGGAGATTGAAGATTTTTTGTTTTTATGTTTGTTTTCAGCGTATTGGGTTTTGGAGAAATAATGAAGAAGAAGAAGATGCAGTTAAAGATGAGGTTAGTTAAAATATTTTGAAGATTCTTCATTATTCTGAAATTATGACAATCCCTTATTATATAAGTGCTTTTGTATCCTATTTCTATTACAAAAGCTGAAAAATTTATAGAAATAAGTTGGAAACAAAACAGATTATGAACATTTCGTAAGCTTTTTCTATAATCCCTTTCAAACAGTCTCAGAAGTGATTATGTTGGGAGGTAAACTTAAATAAAGTGATTTGAAGAGTCATTTATAGTGTTATTGTACCAGGGTGATGCAACATGGCAAACTGATTCAGTTGGAGATAAGCATAGTGCTTCAAGATTTGATCCAATGGGAATGGTTGGTGACGGTTCACCTTTTTTACTTCCAATTCCAAAATCAGGAAGCAGCTCCACAAGACAGAAAAGTGAGAAATCGCGTTGCAGCGACCGTGTAAGTAAAACTTTTCTTTTCTATCCTCTAGTAAAACTCAAAAGAGCACATTCAAAATGCAGATATATGATATCATTACTATGTTCTTGTCAAGTAACTAACAATCTTATTCCAATTCATTCACACAATTTAGTTTCCTTACCGATCACTCTTTGATTATAGCATCGCAGGCAACGTATCGCTGATAACCTCAAAGCCTTACATGAATTGCTTCCAAATCAAGAAGGGGTAATCTCTTGTTTATGATTTAACATATGTCTAAACAATGTCAAAAAGTTATTCTTTCTGATGAATTTGATATACTAGTGCTTAAGCATCTTTACACATACTGAATTTCACAAAATTTACTTATAATCAACTGAATTTTTAATTTGCAGGGTTGTCAAGCCCAAGCTTACATACTGGACGACATCATCGACTATGTTAAATACTTGCAGAATCAACTAAAGGTAACTTTTTAATTTCTAATGTTATCATCAATTGCAAATAGAAATTCTTCAATAGCTAAGGAAATTGTTCCTTTGCAGGAACTAAGTGGAAGTAAACTGCAAAGTGACTCAAATGCTATACCACTAGTTTATCATGAGGTTCACCTCTTTCTTTAATATCAGTATCTGAATTCAGCTCTAAGCAAATAAGTTCTTAAAGCATACTGTCAAATTCATTAACAGTAGAGTTTGATTTTTTTGATTTATTACAGGGTTATGGGCATTATATAAAGGATCAAATGCTGAATGAGCCTCTTGAAGAGATAATGGGGAAACTAGTTGAAGAAAATTCAGCAGCAACAAGTCAGCTACTTGAAAGCAAAGGTCTTATTCTACTTCCTATTGCTCTGGTTGAAGAATTGAACCAAGCTATGCAATTGTTGAACCAAGATAGCTAGTTAACTATTTAGGGTGATATCTATTTACTGTGTTTGGATCATTATTATGGTATGAGAACAAAATTAACATAGTTAGGCCATATGTTGTTTTTCTAACTAAAACACACCTCTTGAAAGTCTTTATGTACTAGAGGTAGTGTGTGATGCTGTTTCTGTGTTATGATTTTTTTATAGTTTCTTATCTGAAAAGTCTTTATGCCAATTGGAACCTCTTTGCAAATCTACTCTTTAGTTCTATTCTTGTATATTTTATTTTGAAACTGAATCCTATTAATATAATTTGATGCTAAAAAAATGTTTTAAAAGATCATTTTGCTAAAAAGTTGTGTATTTTAAAAGACTATCAAGATTCATAATCCGAGTCTGTCTTGCAAGCTCCTGCCGTTGAAGAACGAAAACCTGTCGAGAAGAAGTTTGTTAAGCCAAAGTGGTTGAAAAGGTGATATCAATTGGCCAGCAGCAATGGTTAAGTTAAGTGGTTAACTGATGGAGGGAACTTGGTGTATCATGCTAAATCTAAAAAGATTGCACCAAAGTTTAGTTCTTTTCTCTTTCAAAATTTCTTAAATAGAGTTTTTTTTTTGGCATTTTTTTAAAATAAAGCAACCGTTGCATGTTAAATATTTTGATGAAAGATTTTTGCATGTTAAAATTTCACTAAAAAAGTCACATAAAATTCATTTGAGGTGTTTTTATAGATGTTTTCTTTATCTGTCACAACCTTTTAATTTCGAAGACGAAACTATTTTAAGAGAATAAAAATATTCCGATATTACATTATTTAAATTCTTTTAATAAATTTACGTGATGTATTATTTATTCAACAACTTATATTATGTAAAATTTTATTTAATTATTTATAACTATCACTATATTTTAGTTATTTGTTTTATAAATAAGTATCATAATAAAATTCATAATATTGTGATGATTTCTTTAGTCCAGTCATTGGGGCATCTATTAATCTTCAGCCAATTCAGAATCTCTTTCCAGATTTTATTAGGCTTACACTCAAAAAACATGTGCTTCATAGTTTCATCTTGATCACAGAAACAACATTTTCGGTCCACGATGATACCAAATCTAGCTATTCTATCTTTCGTGGGTAGCTTTTCCATAAGCGCCATCCACATAATGAATGTAGCTTTGGGTCTAGCTTGGCTGTTGAAAAGAATTATTTTCCTATCTACTAATTGAGTACCTGTATGAAATAGAACACACACAAAGCATAATCCAGCCAATAAATTTTCCAGGAAAATTCATTTCACGCAGTCCATTCCACTGTATCATACGCTTTTTGGATGTCTATTTAAATGGCACGCCTAAGAGATATGTGCTTGTGATTATAACCTCTTAATAACTCATGGGCCATGTGAATATTATCATGAATGACCTTCCAGACAAGAATGCATATTGGCTATCATCTACAACTTCATTGATCACCTTGCTAAGTCTTGTTGTCAGCATTTTAGAAATGATTTTGTATATCGTGGAACAACTCGCTATAGGTCTCAGATCCTTTATATATTTTGCATCAGGGGTTTTAGGGATTAGAGTAACTATAGCACAATTCACAATTGCATAAAGTTTCTTGTTCACAAAGAAATATTGAATAGCTTCCATCATATCCAATTTGGTGATATTTCAAGTGGTTTTAAAGAATTTGGAATTGAACCCATCCATACATGGGGCTTTTGTCTCACCAATGCTATTGAGAGCATTCCAAACTTCTTTCTCAGTTATAGGTTGGATAAGATCAGTATTAAAGAGATATCCAGCCAGTCTTTGTTGAGCTTGAGCTAAGTTTGCTCTGTATTCTATAATTTTATGCACCTCATAGTGACTCTTCTATTCAAAGCTCTCAAAAGAGGTTGTAATCTCTTCATTTTTCTCTATAAAACATACACGTGCCTTCCTTTTTCCTCCTTGTTCCAGCTATTCCTTACCACTTCTAAAAAATCAGTTTGATAAACCTCATTGTTAAGGAATTTAAATTTGGGTTGTTGTCTGGATCTAGCCATTTGATGTCCTTGAAGCTTGACCTTAAGAAGGGAATGGTCTGATATGTGGGTATGATACCGTAGAAGAACTGACTTGGTTGTTTGCGTTTGATCGCAATGTTGCGATTAGCAAGAGTCGCCACCGACTTTTCTTTTATCCGAAACGGAAAGGCTGAAAAGAACAGGAAAGACCTATAGAGATGTTTTCTGAGTTCAGGGGGTAGATTATGAAAATGGAAGTTATTAACACCCTTTTCATCTGTAGTTATCTACGGGCTCTTAGTTACTTGCTAGATCACTCGCTTTTGTTTGAATGTGTGCTTGTGGTGTGGGTTTTGAAAGTATTTTGAAAATGTCTTTGTAATGGTTCTCGTTTCTATAAGAACGCGTACAAAGTGTTGTTTCGTAAATAGTTCAAAGAGGTATTTGTAGAGTGTGTTTTTTGAAAGAGATTTTGAAAATGTGTCTTCTTTGTAATGACTCTCGTTTCTATAAGAACGCGTACAGAGTGTTTGTCTTTTGAAAATGTTTCAAATGAATGTGTTGGTGTATAAAATATTTTTGTTGTGAGCAAGCGATCGATTAGGAGCGAATCTACCTACTCAAAAAGGTCTTAAATGTTCATTTCCTTCTCCTTTAGATGTTGTTATCTTACCATTGATTGATAATAAACCACATCGTTGGATGTGAAGGGACGGGCGTGAGACATTTGTATAGTCATAGAAGGCAACCCATTGGACGTTTTAACAATGTCATTTAAGAATTAGATCGTTTACCGAAGGCAACATCGAGGGTCATCGAGGGACTACGATCTTTTATCGAAGGATCTTTGCTAAAGCACCCATGTTCGAGGGACATGCCTATTTTTCCGATAGGCAACAAGTGGGATTATCCTAATGGGTGCATGTGTGCAAAGTGTATTTGATTGCATGCATTTAGTCTTTAATTTTTGGATTGTCTATTTGTTGTTTTTATCTTGCCATACACCCCTAATTATTAGCAATATATGAAAGCAATAAAAACGCGGAAAAGTAAAGTCCTACACTATTACATCATTAAGGGGATGAGGTGTACAAATTTACAAATGGGGATTGCAAGAAATTAAAAGTCCTAATTATCTATTACAACCATATTGAAATAATGTATCAGAAAATGTAAAAAGGGAATAGTCTTGTTTTTGTTAAGAAAAGAAATAAGTTCGCTAAAGAAAAAAAAATTTATCTTTGAATTTTTTGAGTTTTAAGAGGGATAAAATAAAGTATGTAAATATAAATAATTTTTGGTTATTAAAAGCTAAAATAAGATAAATAAGAGAAAAATGAGTCAGAATCAGCACATCGCTGAAACGAGAAGGAACAAAAGTTATGACTCTGATACGCTGCAAAAGAGAAAATGTCAGTGAGAAAGTGGAGGGTCAAAAGTTCTGGACCTGGGTACACCAAGTTCTGAAGTTGCTGGAAATAAAGGAAAACCTAGAAGTTCTGATTATTGAAGGGGTTCAAAAGCTATAGTGTAGCTGGGAACCTAGAAGTTCATATATCACTGGCAAGTCAGAAGTTCTGGCTATTTGAGAGAGTGAGGTGATAATGCTGTTGGGTAAGGTTGTCTAGAAGTTCTGATCTAGGAGTATCGTCTAAAAGATAAATGGGTAAAAATGTCAATAAATAAACCTAGAAAGATGCTTCTGAGGCTAGAACCCAAGACCCTTAGCACTAATGTCTTATGCGTACACACTGTATATCACTGGGGTGACTGTAAATCTGGTATTAGAAGCAAAAGCATAAACATTTATTACAAAGTAGACTTTGATGATAAACTCCACCTCTTTATTCATGCTAATCAGAATATCTGCAACTTAGTCAAATCTCAATAGAACAGAAAACACAGACATAACAATTATGGTAGTTTTCCATCATGGTTTCAGAAGCATAAAAAATGTCAAGACTGTAAATCAGAAACAAGCATGTATCTGCTAAACCTAGTTTCCTTAGGAAGTTCTGAACTGATGTTCTCCCTACTTAGGCAGACAAATACATGAAACCTCAGAATATGTACAGCATCAGAATCAGGACGTCTACATTGTATTTTGAACATGCAAGTCTAACAATGCTTAAGTGATATGATGAGAGTCAAAAGAAACTTACCTTGCAGCTGGAAAATATTCTGACTGCTTGTAATGTTCTGATCAGCCTCCTCACGTGCTCAGCAAGTTGGAACAAACTTTAACTTGGGCTATGAGTGATGTATGGATGATTTGGTCAAGAAACACTTGAGGGAAATTGGAGTTTGAATGCAAGAAATAAAAACTGGCAGGTTTTGTATTTGTGTTTGCAGTTTCGGATTCCTGGAAATTTCAGCAAGATTTCAAGGCTTTTTCTTTTCAATTTTTCCACCCCTTCACAGTTGCCAATGAAATTCAATTTATAGGCAAGAACTTTGTAGCTTGGAGAAGTCAAAAGTACAGACATCATGCTAGCGTGCTGGCTTGTTCTTGAAGCAAGATAAAAAATTATGGTGGTTAGCATATTTTAGCCGTGCCTAAACTGTATTTGTAAGCATGAATTAAGAAAAAGTACCCTCAGAGGCAAAAGCAAAGCATGGGCCCAGCGTACTCTTGTACAAAAGTTTGCTTTTTCAAGGACAACAATGTACTTCTATGTCACACGTGGGGAAATCCTTTGGATAAAAACTCAAAAGTGGTTGTGAGCATTAAATGATGATGAGATTTATCAAACCTGAAATCCTGTAATGTGAGATTATGCATCATAGCTTAATTTTGGGTCAGAAGTTCAGCATCAGTGCAAATTAGAACCAATATCCAACTTCTGATCCTTTAATCTCTTGGCTCCAGCATGTTCTGAGCGAGTTCTCTGACTTCCAGAAAGCTTATGACATGCTTTGTAAGCCCTCTTTGAATTACTCTTGCAACTTCTGACTGAACCCATGTGAAAACTGGCCCAGAAGTTCTGGGCTTGTCTCATTTCTTAAACACTTAGAAAA